GCTCCCTACATGGAGCCTGTTTCTCCCTCTCCCTCTGCCTGTGTCTCTGCCTCTCTCTCTCTCTGTGTCTCTCATGAATAAATAAATAAATTTTTTTTAAAAAGCTTTAAAATTACTTAGTGTGCTCTTTAAAATTTACATAAGTACTACCACACTGTGCATCTGCAATGTGCCTTTCTGCTCAACATCATTTTTGAGACTTCTCTATGCAGATGCGTATCTGGCTAATTCCTAACTATTATATAGCATTCTATCACGTGACTATTTTGATTTAATTCTCCATTCTTCTACCGATGGATATTTAGGTTGTATTTCCCTTCATTTAAAAAAAATGCCCCTGTGACGTCACCCTGCTCCCTGTGCTCTTGTGCAAGATCTTCTCTCTAGTAGAAGCCTGGATGTGAACCTGCTGATACAATTCTACCTACCTCACTGTCAAGTGCCAAATTGCTCTCTGAAGTAGTTCTACCGATTTATACTCCCACCAGCAGCATCTGGAAGTTCCATGGCTCCATATCCTTGCCAACACTTGCCCACATCTGCCAATCTGAGGGTGTGCAGTGGTCTCGTTACTGCCTCATGTTGGGTTGTCCCCATAACTCCCAGGGAGGCTAAGTGGCTTTTCTCATGTTTACTGGCCACGTGACATCCATCTCCTAGTCTCTTCCTTCTTTCTCTCCCTTCTCAGAGGCTACTACTAACCTGAACTTGATGTGGATGCTTCACATCGGGCACTGAATTCTCTATTCATATACTTCTCCATTTTTCTACCTGCCATTTCTCTTTTGCTTATTGATTTATAGCTTTTTAAATAATTGATGCACTAACCTGTGTGTTATATGTTATTAACATTTTTTAGTCTGTTGTAAGCTTTTAAATTCTTTTATGATTATGTGTCTGTTATGTTTATGTGTTTGTTATTCAGAACTTTTCACGGATCCATCTTTTCCTTTATTTGTTCCTTTCATATCTTGTTTAAGAAATCCTTTCCTGTCCCAATGTCATAAAGGTATTCCACTCGAATACCTTTATGGTTATTTCTAGCTGGAATTTACTGTTGTGTAGTGTGGGGATGAGGTAAGGATCTGATTGTTTTCCTGAGTCAACTGTCTCAGTGCCACTAATTGAAATGCCCATCCTTCCCCGTGCATTTGTAACTCTTCTGTTCACATAACTCTTCTGCTCGCATATACAAGTTCCCATACGTGCCTGGGTTTGAGTTGATTCCACTGTTGGATGGGATCATCCCTGGGCCAATGTCCAACTGTCATGATCACCCCAGCTTCATGGGAAGTTCTGCTCCCTGGCGGAGCACACTCCCCTCCTTTTCCTCCTTCCTCCCTTCTCAGAGTAGTCTCAGGGATTCTGGGAACTTACTCTTCCATGTGAATTTTAGCATTCGTTTGTATGATTTCTTATCCTATATAAAACCCTGTTGGCATGTCAACTAAATTACACTGAATTTAGAGATTAATGGGGGGAGAGCATGTGATAATCAGTCCTCCTGTCCAGGAACATGGCTTATCCCTCCATTACTTCAGACCTATGAATACATCTTTCAAATATTTTATAATCTTCTCTGGGTAAATTTCACCTTTTTTTCCCCAAAAATTTATTCCTAGCTTTCTAACAGCTTTTATGCTAGAGTGTATTATGATTTCTTTTATCTTCTCAGATATTGCTGTTGAATAGGTTGCTACTGTCGATCATGCACCCTGCTCAACTCTATGACTCGTTATAACAGCCTCTGGGTTTTCTTGGATTATCTACAGTTAGTTGTACCATCTGCCAATAATGACATGACTCTTCCAAACTTTTCTGTCTATCTTTCTGTCTTTCTTCCTTCCTTCCATCCTTTCTTTCTTTCTTTTTTTTTTTTTTTTTTTTTTTTTTTACATTGTGGTGCATTATATGGGACCTCAAGTATTGTGATAAAGGAGTAAAAATGAGGCTCATCTTTCCACTTCCTGACAATGCATATTTTTCACAGGAGATCCAGAGCCTTGATCAATCTGAAAGGCTACCGTGTCCAAGAAAGGTGAATAACCACCTGTCTCAATTTGTGTACATGTATGTAAATACACGGAATCAGGTTCTTAGTTGCCATGAAAGAAACTAAAACAATCGATCCAGGAGTTAGAGCATCGCAAAGACCTAGGAGAAAAGGAGGGCTGTGAGTTCAGGGCAGGTATCAGGCAAAACACTAACTGCCCATTAAGGGTAAGGGAAAGAGTCACACAAAGGACACTCAGACCAGAGAATGTAGCAGGAAACAAAGAGCATAATTGTCAGAGGCGACACGCACCATGTAGACACAAACGGCTTCCACGCCTTGCTTCCCCTTGGTTTACTTGTCCATAAATCAAAGCTAATAATATCTACATCATATTTATGAGTCACAAATTCTCCTGGCTGAAAAAGGCAAATAAGGTTTTTAAAGAGTTCTTATAGAGTAGGTAGAGGTTGGAATGCTCCAGGCCTTTTCCACATTAGTAGTTCACTTGGGGGAGGGAGGGAGAAAAGCTGGTTTTGGAATAAAGAGTAATAGGCTCTCCTTGAGTAATCTCTCACACACCCTGGATCCCCAACCAACTAATCCCTCCGTTTGCAAAGATCCCCAAGGTGCCTCCCCCAGTGCCCTGCCTCCCAAGCTGGGCGACCGGGCTACGTGCAGCCCACCCTGGCAGCCCTGGACAGAGCTGAGGAGACATTGAGAGACTCTCCAGAATGTCCCAGGTCGGGGCAGCTACATACCTGAAGGAACCTCCCCAACGGACAAAATGAGAACAGCCGAACTCTGCATATGAAACTCAACTCAGTGAGCCTGACGGAAGTGGTCTTCAAAGCCCTGGCATGTTTGATTCTGCTGGACAAGAGCTTTGATGGGGGAATCACTGTGTGTGCCTCCCGTGGCAACATCCCGGAGCCTTACAGCTCAACTTCAGTTCCCCCCTGCTTCTTTAATTATAGGAGCCAGAAACCCAGGCACTTTGTAATTTACCGTGCAGCTTAAGAGTCACTTTTAGCGGAAGACAAATTGCCAGGCCACCTGGGCAGAGCAGTGAAGTGTAGCTGGAGCCGGGGGGCCCTGGCAATGAATGGGGATGGAACCCGGTCTGGACCATCAGCCAGGGAGATTTAGGAACCACGGGCAGAAACGAAGCCAGTGCTCCCCAAAGGCAAAATCTTCAATCACAGGGTGTTTGAAGAGACCCGAGCTGTCAATATAGATATAGATAGATATAGATACACAAAAGATAGGACGGCACTCTCCCAGAAACACTCTGACCCACCATGTAAAAGTACAGAGCAAGCGGCAGAATTTACTTTTCCAGGAGGCCACACATCTCCCATTAGCAGCATCTGTGCAGGACTCAGGATCCAGAAGAAATGTCATTTACATTAGGGCCACATCACACTTTGCTGGCTTCTGTCACAGATAATGATGAAACTAAATTTAACTCTGCCTGACACTACAGTTTGAGTTATGAGCTGGCGCTTCCCTGCCGTTTCGCCTGATCCTCTAAGTGCATATAGTTTTGTAGGAGATTTGTTAACTGCACACTGAAAGGTCCCCTGCTGGAATGGCACGCTTGGGTCTGCTGCAGCCCCTCCACCTGTCATAAATCAACCCCTTGCCCCATTGCCACCCTATGGGGTTGGGTCAGGGAAAGGGGACCTGCCCCAGCAGTTCTTTGGACTTATGCCACCTTCGTGCCCAGGGCTTGTCCTCTCTTACGAACAGAGTACCAGGAACAGAGTACCAGCGACAGCCCAGGCCATGGGAGGGCTCTGGGCTCACCGACCAGGGTCAAGCCCTGGCCCGGGGTTTTGCTGCCAGCCAATGCTGGATTTTCTCAACAACTGCAGCCCACACACGCGGGCACCGACGCTACACGCGAAGATGATGGGGAAGTGACTTGCCTAAGGTCATATGGCTAGTATGCGGAGGGCTGCCACTGGAAGCCTAGAAACAAAGCCAATTCCCCCCTGCCGGAGGGGTTTTCTACGCAGGACCCCCCCCCCCCACAGCCGCCACCCCCCGCCCCGCCCCGCGCGGCTGCAGAGTCCTGAGCTGTCCCCAAAGCCTCCGACGGCTGGGCTGCTTCCAGGCTCCAGGCCCCAGGCCCCAGGCCCCAGGCCCCAGGCTCCAGGCTCCAGGCTCCAGGCTCCGGCACGAGCTGCCCTCCCTCCCCTCCGGGAACCGCGGGAACCGCGGGAACCGCGGACACCGGGACTCCGGGCCGAGCTCCTGTCGCCGCCCGGCCCCCGCGGGACGTCCCGGGGCGCGCTCAGGGTCTGGAGCCCCGCGCAGTCCGTGGAGGGCGGCGGGTCCTGCGTGGAGGAGCCGGGGCTCGGGACCAGGGAGAGCTTGGGGGCCACTGAGGACAGCGCCCGGGCGAGACCCGCTCCCGCCCCGCTCCCGCCCCGCCCCGCCGCGCCGCGCCGCGCCGCGCCCGCCAGGTGCCCGCGCCGAGCCCCAGGCCCGCCGGACTGCCCCCCGGGCGCCCCCCGCAAGCTCCCCGGGGGTCCCGCCGAGCGACCCCCGGCCGGCGCCTCGGCTGCCCCCGACCGCGCGGGCCGAGCCCGCCGGGACCCTCGGCCCCCGCCGGCCGGAAGGAGGAGCCCCTCGCGCCGCGCCCCCCGGCGGCCGGGAAAGTTTCAGGCGCGCGGGGCCGGCGCACTCACCTGGCCCAAGTTGAGGTAGCCGTGCGCCGCGGCCACGCGGTCCGCCTCGGCCGGGCCGCCCCGCACCTGCACTGCCCAGTGGTTGGTGTAGACGGGGCGCGGCGGCGGCGCGGAGCAGGCGGCGGGCAGCGCGAGCAGCAGCAGCCAGCGCCAGGGGCAAGGCGCGGGCGGCCGGGGCCCGGGCCCGCCGGCTGCCCCCGGGGCGGCGTCCGCGGCGGCGGGGGAGGCGGCGGCGGCGGCGGCGTCCGCGGCGGCGGGGCGGCGGCGGCGGGGGCGGCGGCGGGGGGGCCCGCGGCGGCGCGCGCGGAGGCATGGCAGCGGCAGGCTCCGCGGCGCCCGAGCGGCGAGTGCGCCGGGGGGTGGGGTGCCGCCTTTTAAAGCCGCTCCGCGCCGGGGAAGCGCCGCCGCCGCCGCTGCGGGCGGGAGCGAGGGAGGCGGAGGCGGCCGCGGCGCGTTCCCGCCCGCGCGGCCGGGTGGCGCCCCTGGGCCCGCGCTCGAGCGGCCGCACCCGGACCCGGGCCCCGACCCGGCGAGCCCCAGACGCCCCCCGCCGGGGAACTTCTCGCCGGCGTTGGGGGCTCTCGGAACAGGCCGGCCGGGAGGCCCGGGCCCCGCAGGGTCTCCCGGGAGCCGCCGGGGCCCCGGGGCCGCGCAGGTGAGTCCAGACCCGCGGCCGAGGCGGACGCCCTCCCACCGTCGGGCATCCTGGAAGCCCCGGTCACCAGCTCTGCTTTCATCTCCTCGCAGGGCGCAGGGCGCAGGGCGCAGGGCGGCCTCGCTCATCTCCGTGTGACGTGGTGCGCTCGCAGGGGCTCTGGGCTCTCGGGGAGAGAAGCCACAAGGAAAGGCTGTCACGGCCCCGTCCCAACGAGGCCTGATTGAAGAGGCAGGGCAAGCGGGGCAGAGACACTGGCCGGGTGAGCCGGGTTCAGGGAGTGCGCAGGAGAAACCTGCCAGCCCAGCCCCGGGCGACGGCCCACCGCGAGGCAGGTGGTACAGGTGAATCCCCCAGCGGCCCGCCCCGCGGGCTGTGATCTAGGGCGCCTCGCCCACCTCGCTGAGAGCAGGGCTCCACCTGTAAATGGGGATGAGAACAGTATCTATCCCGCAGGGCTGTTTTGAGGATAACATGAGCTCTTGCCACGCAGTGAGCTGTCCATAAACGTGTGTTTTTTTACGAGTTCAGGGCCCGCCACACGGTAGGTGTTCATTTGCGTAGACTCTTAAAAGCTCCCACTGAGCTGGGACGAGTCAGTGGGAAAGTGAGTTGAATCACGCTTGTCCCTATTGCCAGGAGCAACCTAGAATGCTCTGGGTAATTATTTGGTGCACCTTGGAGAATTACAGAAATGTTCATACTGTGAACATGAAAATGGTGAGAGGCAGGGACCCCTTTGAATCTCTTCTCCCATTACTTTCAAGACCTGTTGGTCCCAACCAGGCTCCTGTGGAAAGCAAGTCTTTACCCCCATTTATACAGGAGAGGAAACAAAACATAGGCCGAGGATGCCTTGAGGAGGGAAGGCAAAACCACTGATGTTCGGTTTCTAGAAGAAATTCCTGTATAGAGCTCACTTGAGTCTGTGGCTTGGCAGGTAGAGGTTGGGCAATGAGGGGCAGGAGGGGTGGGGAGAAAGCAGGATTCATGGAGGTGGCGTCCTCAGGTCCTTTCTAGCCTCCCTCTCAGGAGCCCTCTGGTTTCGTAACCCACATGATTCATCCTTTCTGCAGGCGTGAGTCACCCTGAATGGAGGTGGGAGAACCGAGGTGTGGTGGGAGGCCCAACAGGGACAAGCCAAATCTTTGTTCACAAGGGCTCCTACCAGGGGCCCCTCTTGGAATCAGAGGACTGAGTTCCTACATGTTTCTCTTTTGCACTAGATGCAGCTTCTCCCACCTTCCTTTCCCTGGCCAAGTGGGGTCCATTCCCTGGGCAGATACTTGAGACCTGCCCCACACTGCAGGATGCAGGCCCCTTGCATCCCTCTTCCAGACGGCCTGGACACTTGCCCCCCCCCACCCCCAACTTAAGAGACAGGAGGCCAGGGATGTCTGGGTGGTTCAGTGGTTGAGCACCTGCCTTCGACTCAGGGTGTGATCCCAGGGTCCTAGGATAGAGTCCCGCATTGGTCTCCCCACAGGGAGCCTGCTTCTCCCTCTGCCTATATCTCTGCCTCTCTCTGTGTGTCTCTCACGAATAAATAAAATCTTAAAAAAAAAAAAAAAAAAGGAGGAAGCCCTGGGGTAAGCGATGCTGCCCTAGAGGAAGGTACACCATCCCCATCCGGCAGAAACATAATCAGAACCCTCAGCCTCTCTCTTCCCAAGGTCACTCTAGCTGTTCACAGAGACGGGGCACTGGACTGAGTCAAGGGGCTGGATTAGAGGCCTCACTCTGTCACCTCCCAACAATACATCTGGGCAACACCTGTCACCTGGACTGTGTCTCAGCTCTGTCCCAGATCTTGTGTTAGACTTTTTCAAGCGTGTGACCCTCTTTAAGATAATGCTACACTGCACATAATCTAAGTTATTATGAACCAACTCATCCCTCCCAAGAGAGTCCCCCCAAGACAGCAGTGATTTTGACAGGCAGAGATAAGGGTTTTTCCATAATAATTTGGTAGATTAAGGGATTCAGCCCACTGAACTGAGGAGGCTAAAATGCATCAGAATTTTTATTTGGTGGGATCTGAATTTATTTTTATTAACAGATCTGATCCTTTTGGACTAAATTTTGCGTTTATCACCAAAGTGCTCGGGCACTGTCTTGGCTTCAATGTTATAGGGAGACCAGCTTCCCAAAACGAACCTCCTAAATCAAATCACCTCTTGTGGGTTTCTTATTGATTTACACAGTGACAGGATTAGTTCAATCACCAGTCCTTGCCTTGTGATAGGATCTGTAATAAAACTTGGCGGTCTTCCTGCAGGAGAGGATTTACTCACATAGACTCCAGCTTTCTAGATGGCCCTCAAGGGTCACACAACTCGGGGTAGGGGCCAGGGTGGATGGGGGTGAGAGGGCTGATCCTGCTTCCCTAGCGCCAGATGGCCTGGAAATGGACAAGACATGGACCAGAAAGATTATTGGGATCTGGTCACATTTCACAAGTTTTAGAAATGCTAATACAAAGATGTGATATTTATACTAGAATTTTCCCAAATTGGACAAGAGGAGGGGTCATCACTGGAAAGCTGTTATTGAATTTTGTGTCCCCATGCTCACACTTGATCCCCTTCAGAGCAAGTACAGGATGGCAAAGCTGGGGCCAAGAAATGCCCAGTATGGCCAGGACCTGGATGGAGGAAGACTTCCCATACCCTCCTGGGGTGTGTTGAAGCAGAATCTGATGCAAACGTTGTGTCCATTTAAGTAATAAACACTGTACTGATAAACTGCATTCTGGAAATGTGCTAGGTTCCGTGGGCCAGGGTGGAATCCCTCAAAGAATGTCTGATGGGCACCACCTTCAGGATATTGAAGAAGAACATGCTTGCACTCAGAGCCCAGCTTCACTGCGATTCATGTGCCACCTCAGGAGAGCTGCTCCAGTGTCTTCTGCTGGAAATGGCAGTAATGCTGCTGTCCCTGGGCAGCACCCTGGGAGGCCAACAGGAGCTGATGCATATAGAGCCCCTTGTCCTGCACCTGCTCCTAAGCACTCAGCAGTGGTGACAATGGTGACCATGCTGCTGTCGGGCACCAGGAACCCTAGAGTGAGTGGGATGGAATGGACAAGGCTGCACATTGTGTCCCTCTGAGGAATTCACAGGGACATAATGTTCTCCCCTTTATCCATTGCCTGTTTCTCAAATGTTAGTATCCCCATCAAGGGAGGGCCTCAGAAGGATCAGACCTCTCCCTGCCTCCCACCCTGTCACCTTAGTCCCAGAGAAACCTTTCCCCGGGTTGCAACAAACCAGCAGTCCCCAGCTGGTTCCACTTTCTCCCTTTCACACTTCTTTTTTCTCTCCTTTTCATCCATCCCAAGTCCCACCCACAGCTGCTCCCTCTGAGCGGTGGGGTCAGGGGCTTCCCCTTCTCCATCCTTCTTGGAGCCCTGCCTCACACTCTGTGTTAATGCCCACATATCTTGTCACTTCCTCTGATGGTGGGCTCTGTATTCATGATAGACTCTACTACTTTTGGGAGCGGGTGGCAAGGTGGCTCAGGGGGAGGTTTGACCATCTGAGGTGGGGAAGGAGGTGCAGCAACACAAAGCCCACTCCACGCCCTCCCACTCTTTGCCTCCCTGGTTAGACTTTCCCTTTATATCTAGATCCTCATTGTCTTAAGAAAGAGCCTTGTAAAAACTGCTTCTCCTGCAAAACAATTATCTCACAATTACGTATCTTAGTGTTCCTTTCATAAACTCCCACATGGAAATTTAGTGTCAAACAAGGAACTTAGGAGCAGAAGAAGTAGAAACTCCCTGTGAACAGTGAGAGCTTTGCAACTGATCTGGTTTCCCTTTTTGCCTTGGCTTCCAGGAGACTCAGGAGCTCGTCCCGATGAACAGTGAGAGCTTTGCAACTGATCTGGTTTCCCTTTTTGCCTTGGCTTCCAGGAGACTCAGAGTCATGTGTCATAGAAAATCACAATTGTTTATTTCCTCGTCACCACAGCAGTTAGAATACCATTGGTTTTAAGTACTAGAATACCCAGCTAAAAGGACCATGGATGGTAAGAATGGCTTATTTGACAGACTGGAATCTTGGTGATAGATGGATCCAGAGTTGTTAATTCAGCATCTCAGTGATACCAGGACTCAAGATAGCTTCTCTGTACTTTGCCTGGCTTTCTCCTCCTGTGCCTAAACCACTCCCTCAGACTGGAGCACTTAATTCTCTCAAGATAGAATCCAAGGAAGGAAGGGCGGGACACCCAGCTCATCTCCCTCAGGTCCTCCTGATCAGAACTGGGTCACAAGCCCACCCGCATCTGCCAAGTCATCATCGGCAACGTGAATGTGTTACCCGGGTCGGTTTGTAGCAGCCTTGGTTTTTCTTCTGGGGAAACGTTACTGCCCCAGATTGGGCAAAACCAGAGATCTGTTGGCAGCAAGAGGCTGCTCTAAGAAGGCTGTTGGGTGGGCACCCAGCGGGTCTACCATCTCCTTCTCTGTTTCTATTATCACCTTCCTGTAGATCCTGCTCACACAGGGCGGATTACAAATGATTATTTATCAAAAGGAGGGAAAGATGGAAGGAAGGGGGTGGGGCTGCCCCCGAAGCCAACCCCCCCCCCACCCTCTTGCCAGGTGGACCCTCGGGATCACGGTGGATTTTACCCAAGTCTGGCACATCAGTAGCAAGATAGAGATCTTCTTCCTGTGTGGAGACATCACTCTGACTCCAGGATGAGTTTCGGGTTCATTGCCTAAGTACTCTCCCGAGTGAGAATAAATTAGGAGTTGGCTCCCCTCATAGGCATGGCAAATGAAGCGAGGCAGAAGATGAGGTGGGAGTGGGGGGGGGGGGTTGCAGTCACAGGCCAAGGAGAAGAAGAGCTAAACATGAGTCCCTTCTAGACTTGGGAGCCTGGGTGTGGAAATAGTGGGGAAAGTGCATCCCAGGGGACGCAAATGAAGTAGCCTGGCGGCAGAGGGCGGCGGAATTGGCGTTTAGATTCTCCCTGGAAAGCTCCCCTCC